ATTTCGCTGAAAAAGTGTGTCAAATATTTTGTCCAAGCCTGTCGATTTCTGATACGATTTCGTCCATATGTTGATGGGTTAGTGAGGGATGACAAGTGATGACCAGACGGAAAAAGTTCCTCAGCTTCTTGGACGCCAATGGCTGGTAGCCGATCATCATGCTGCCTTTCAAAGTCATCCGTTTCTTGATTTCTGGCGCCACCTATAGGAAAGTATTTTAATCATAATTGTTAACAACGTTTACATGATTACTTGTGCCCTGTATGTGAAAATTGTGGCATACACGAGTGTGAAGCGGGCATTCTGGTGCAAATCTAACAATTATAATGTAACCTTACTGTTCTTGTTACACCAAATAAAGATGAATGAATCTTTCTTACCTTACTAACTTCGTTCCACCATTCTTCAGTTTCTTCTAGTCCTCTCAATCGTACAGGAATGTACCAAAAGCAAACATGGGCGCTTTGCTTTGCTGGTAAAACGAGTTTAAATCCGTCCTTGTCTTTCAGCTGGTCATAGAAATAGCTGAATAGAAAAAAAAATTAATGAAGAAGGTACAGTCAAACCTTGTTGAAACACCAACGTTTGTGCAGCAGAATTTTGGAGGTTTAACAGGGTTCGGGGTTTAACGAAGGAGGTGTTGCCACAGTATTTAATGAATGAATAAGTGTACAGTATTTGATTTTTTTAATTTTTCAACCTCTATCCCTCCCCATCCTGCTTTTGGTGAAGATGACTCTTCATTCTTTTTTTTGTGGGGACATAAATCTGTCATTCTTTGCATCTTTAAATGGAGAAAAGAAATAACTAAAAAAATATTACCCAGAAATATAAAGCTTTGAAGAGAGGAGCCAAAAATTGGAACTTTATTGGGGTAAAAATTAGTGCCAAGATCAAGTTTGTTTGGCAAAAAACATTGGCGGATGGCAGATAAACCAAAAACATTGGCGGATTTTCCCATCCCTTCAAGCTTGGGAAGATTTGTTTGGGAGGAAAAAAGTGGCAGTAAGCAAGGGTGGTGGTTAATTAGGGGGTGGTTTAACGGGGTTCAATTGTACAATTTAAATACAGTACAACCTCATTACCATGAAGCTGTTGGGACCAGTGAAAAAGCTTCATTCTAACAAAAAGTGCATTGTAAAATAAACTCTTTTAACAATGTGGCAAAGGGGCATCAGGGACCAGAAAAATGTCTTTATTGTAATTGATTACCGTATTTACTCAAATACCCTGCACCCTTGAGTAAGGCATGCACAGGGGTTTTTCAGTTCAAAATTTGACTAAAATTGTATCCCTGAGTAAGATGAGTAAGACCCCAATTTTTAGGGACTCTAAATCCACAAAATTTTGAAAATAAAAACAAAAAATTTGACTTTTGATGTGAATTGAACATGAATCTGATCAATTTTCAAATTTTTCAGTAAAAAAAAGTTTTCTTGGTACATTTGTCACATATTTCTCAATTATAATCAAGTATAATTAACACACAACTTCCTAAAACTTCTTTAAAATTGTGTACCCGCTTATGACGCACACCCCTTTTTTTCTTCTGAAATTTGAGAAAAAAGGTGTGCGTGGTACTGGAGTAAATACGGTATTAACCGAAGGACAGTGCCAGGTAGATTTCCATTGGGCGGCAGAGCTGAGATATTTTTGCAGGCTCGCAAATTTCAGTTTGACTGAAGTATGGGGCAAAGGCCCACAAAGAACAAAATATGCAATAAATTGTAATGAATCAAAAGCATGATCTGCCTGGAAACAGGGCAGGGGATTCTCAGTAGAATCCCAGAAAGAAAGAGCAAAATGTATTTCACATGAATAGGTAAGAATCAGTCAAAACCCTTTCAATATTTCAACAGAGAGCAGTTTTCTAGAGAAAACTGAGTGCAATGGAAGCACCTGACCCTGAGACACTGTGTGAAACTAGAAGGAAAACCATGTCAGGGAAAGAGAATTGCACCATCAAAACTGGGTGGGAAAACAAGGGTGTAGTGCTGATTATCACTTGATCACTGGGAATTCCTGGTGATCAGATGACGTAAGCTTCTGCACATCAACTTCCTTGTTACCCTGCATCTTATAGGATGCAGGATCCAAATTTGTTCCTAAATGAAGGTCACTGAAAGGCAGCCTCAATTGGCTGGATAGACAAAGTTTGGGGAAAATCCTGGGAAGTTCAAGTTATTGTTATTTTGACCCCCACAATACTAATGCTATAGCAGGAATGCGGGGGAAAATGCCCCTCAGCAGGGCATATTTATTTTTATTTTTCAGCAACAATTTTTTGTGGAGGGAAAGAAGATCAGGATTTTTCCCAACTTTGGCTCTCCTGCCCTAATGAGCAAGATTTTTTTTTTAATACTGCATGGCACCAAATTTTGCAAATATTTCCCTGCTCTGCTGCAGAAGGGTTAATTTGTTGTAAACTGTTGGGGACAACAGTCACCACAACATAAAGATGAAAATGATTGCTGTGGATCAAAGATTAGAATAAGCAAAAAGCTGATTCAGTCCTAGACAAGGGCCAGGAATTCCTGGTAGAATCCCTAATTGAATTCAGATTGTCCCAAATTTTCCAAACAATTTTTCAAGATTTGTTTGACATTTCATGAAACCCATTTTAATTTTTGCCAAGTATGCGCTAAAAATTTGAGGTCATACTTATTTAATAACACTAACTTTGCACAGTGGAACGCATTCTCAACCAGGTTTCGGAACCCCGACGTTCCCCTGGCCTTCCACATGGCCCACAGCTTGAAGGAATCCGTTTTTCGTCCGCACTGGACGCTTTTGTCGCCAGAATCGTAAGAGACGTCGTAGAACTTGTCCTGCTGGAACAAATACGCCGCCGACGCCTTGTTGCACTCCAAAAGAAACCCCTGCTGGACGATCCAAGTCATTAGCAGGAAAAGAGAGAATAAAAAGAGTTCTCGTCCATATATACGAAGGTTCTAACAAAAGTTCTTGGAATAGAAATTATAATGGCATATAATTGAGCAGGAAAAATTATGGTACTTCCTGTTATCTAAGTACCTACTTTCCAAGCCTCATTTTATATAACAGTTGAGTTTGGTGCACAAAGTACAATCTGATTTTGGGAGGCGGTTAGGTAAAGTTAGGTTAGGTCAGGTTATGTTAATGGAAAGATATGTGTAACTAACATAACCTGACCTAACCTATAACCTAACCACCTCATAAAATCAGTTTCAGCAAATCCCTTTCCGCTTTTGTTGGTTTCTTGGACAATAAAATTCACAGTTTTTGGTAGGTTGCTGTGATTATGAACTTGTCCTAGAGATTTGTCTGGATGGTAGTGCAGTCTAGAAATGAGGTACAGAGATAACAGGAAAGTAGGTACTGAGATAACAGGAAAGTACCAAAAATATTTATTCTTTAGGGAAAACACATTCCTTGGCACACAAAAAAAATCAGCCCTGTTTGACATTTAAAAAAAATGTTTTTCAAACTTCACCCTGGCAGAGTTTTGGTCTCAACTCAAAAGATGAGGCACCCTTCCTGCAGATTTTGTTGTTATATCCTAGCACAGCCACCACATTGGTTGCTGTGATGGCAGCTGTTGATGAAAATGGCAGAATTACCTTGGAAGACCTTGTAAGGTATATTTGTCCCACACCAAGGAACATACACCAATAACTACTGTTGTCCTACATGTTCGATTGTATGCGAAATAAATATACCTCAACAAATATATTGGATATATATTGACCGGAAATCCCATGGGGTTTCTGGTTGCGCAATGTCATCTAAAACTTCCATGTTCTCTCCCCCATTTTGTACACAGTTGTATCCTTTGGTTTGTGGCGTGCAGATCAATTTCTCTGTCCAAGTGTGAATTTGCTCATTTGCAAAATATATCTTATCCTCTTTTCCTTTTGGATAACTATTGAGTTATCCCCTGCCATGTTCCCCAGTGGATTGTGTTTCTCAATTATTTATCCATTAATCCAAATGCTCTTTGGTGTCTTTGCTCCACAAAATTGGTAGCAGAGCGTAGTTTTGATCAAAGGACCTCTGGGTTATGGGCCCAGAGGTCTGTAGATCAAAGCTACAAACCTTGGAATTAATGCCACGTTGATTTCAAGAATTCTGAGGGGAAAGCTGGGCTACAACAACGAAATCTGTGGGAAGGGTGCTTCATATTTTGAGTGATGGAGAGCAAAACTCTGCCAGATTGAATTTTGAGTGAACCTTATTGTGAATGCTGAAAAGCGGCAAATAAAGTGTTCTGTTCATTCATTCATTCATTCATTCATTGAATTTTGCAAAACATTCAAAAAAATTTGTCAAGCAGGGCTGATTTTTTGTGTGCCAAGGAATGTGTTTTCCTTACAGAATAAATTTGTTTCAGCTCAATTATAAGCCATTATAATTTCAATTCCAAAAACTTTTGTTAGAACCCTTGTATATGCAATGCATCAGTTTCATCAATATTATTTTATTTCGACAGAATTCGAGAGGGGTATTATTGAGTCTCACGGGTTCTTTTATGAGGAATGCTGAACACTGCAAAGGTGCTCCGAGCATCTTGTGCGGATTCCAAATGAAGCTGTCAGCTTCTTCTACGCCGTTCAAGAGGTGGCGAAATTTTCCGCTGAATATCACAGCACCGCCCATACATGCCTGAAAGGATTTTGGCAAAGACCTGCTGCGTATAGTCGATTTTAAAAATGTATCAAAAATTCTGTAAGAGTCTTCCAATAAAAAATAAATAAAATACTGAGCTTCGAAATTCGCGCGCGCTGAAAAAAAAGATGGTAGCAGAGCGGACGAAGAACCAGTTCAAACTTATTTTTTTGGTTTTAGAATTCAGAAAAAGACTCATTTTGATGAACTGGTCAGCAGTTAATTCTTAAACTTATAACAGCGATTAAGAAATTATATTTAAAGTTCAAAATGCTTACAAATTTGTGCGTAGTACAAAATGCGCGTATTTTCTGAGCGGAAAGGTAACTATTTAAACCGATCCATTCGACTTCCGAATCCAGCTAATAATTTCCGCATAAAATTAAATATAAAAGCACTCTATTTTCAAAAATTGGCGGATAATTTCTCGAATATTCAGTATATATCTTACATCTCTATCATTCAACACGACTTGATTTTTTTTTCTTTTACATCACCCGCTTCTTTTTTCATAGTAAATAATGGCTACTGTTTCAGAAATTCAGGTCCATTTTCATACTTTTCGTGAATATTTTTTGTTGTGTGTCGGTAATTTTCATGACAATGCATTACAAAAAATGACTGTACAGGCGATTTTGCGCATCTAAATTTGATTTGAAAATCAGAACCCAATTTTTTGCGGCGAGAATTTTCGGATTACTTTAAATGCCATTTACGCTGCCTTTTAAATGTTGTTTTGCTTTTAATGTTTACATTTATAGTCATTTTCTACCGCATGGTCAAATAAAATTTTCTGGAAGTATCCCGGTGAATCTGGAGATATACAGTATAGTGAAAGAAAATCAATAGATTCATCGCCAATAAGTAACATAATATATCGATTCAGATGACAATTCGTCGGATTTTAATTATAAGGTACAGTAATTCTCACATCAACGTGAAGCCAAAGATCATGTTTTCGGCAAAGGGCTCCGATTTCGGGAAGTGGGTCGAATGCACCTAAAACCGTACTTCCACAGGTGGCAATCACGCAAATTGGCACCTTCCCTGCACCCTAAATTTTAACGCAAAAAAATTCCAGACAGTACTGGTACATTTTCTTGCCAAGAATGTATATATATAGATTTTTTTTTTCAAGTTTCCCTTTTCTTACCTTGCTTTGGTTAATTTTCCATTCCAAATCGTCCGGAATCATTCGACCGAGTTCATCTGTTCGAACAGGAACCACATTTTCTGTTCCGATGCCGACCCAATGTGCGCTTTTGGCGATTGAATAATGGCTCTTTTTTCAAAATCAAGAAACAAATCAACCTCAAGTATATACATTTTAAAATAATTTTTTTTTATCCTTAAAGTGAATAGTCATGATGGGGAATTTTAGAAATCGTGTGATAAAAGCCAACATGCGCAACGGAACGCTTGAAAAGTAATTTTTTGAAGAGATTTTTCTAGACTCCCTGATTGTGTAGAATATTCTCCAAAAATTGCGACACACGCTTTCATCAACCAACTTTTGTTCATAACCTGGAACTGAAACTATTGAAATTTCATTTAGAACTTTGTTGAGGCAAATATTATTTCATCGGGAAAGGTTTGAGTTAAAATGCAGGTATCAATTATACCGTCGCGTCAATATAATAACTCACGTCTTCGGAGGCGAAGACTGCCATGGGTGGCAACCCATGAAGCCCTTGGGTTTTCGAATTCGGGAATTTTTTGTAACGACTGGCTACAATGCCGTACATGTTGGCAACACTGCCACCGGGAGAAAATATGCCATCGCCAGAATTCCAACCAATTAGGTGACGAATTTGCTTGAGAATTTCTCGCTCCACCATTGAGAAAAATGGCGCGATTTCAAACGTCCCCCTTAAAAAAATGCATTCAAGTTCAAGCAGCAGAAATATACTTCAAATAATTATTCGTGTTTCAAGTGGACCTCACGGTTTTAGAGAAATATTCAAGCATCACCAATAATGAAAATGAATACAGGGCTTGTAAAGTACTCGAAGTATCAGAAAAAAATATCAAAATTTGAGGTTTGCTGTTTTTATATGCGCTCTATTTTAATTTTATTTCTTCAAAAACGGGCTCTTTGGTGCATGCTGTTTTGGTGATTCATTCTTTCAAATCTAAAATTTTTGCTCATTTTTTACCCCATCAACTTTCTGAATGATTGCACTCTTTTGTCAGGTTAATCTTCCTAAAAAAAAAAAAAGGCTCTCTTTTATTGTGCGTTTATTATGTTTGCTGCTGGGTACATTATTTTATGCGTTTAATATGTGCTAAAATGCATTCATTTGTGCGGGAAATTTTGATACTAGGGGTTTGAAAGAGTGAAAATTGTGTCATCGTTTTTGCGCCCACATTAAAGGAAGAATTTCCGCATTTTAATTTGATCGTCGCCGGAAATTTTAGGTTCAGAAGAAAAAAATTGCAAGATAAAACATCCTTGATGATCGAAAACATCCTGTAATTTTATAAATTTCATATCGAAATTGACTTATTTCTAGAATATCTCACTGGTTGGTGTTGAGAGCTTCGACTAGCCAAGCAGCTGCGACTCCGTAAGGATCAGCTCCTCCGTAGAGCTGATTTCGGAAATACGGATTTCCAGTTTTCACGCTGAATTTCACGGCTTCAGAGAACAATTTTCTGAGGTCGCTGTCGGAAACTCCATTTGTTGCCGAATCAAGAGATATGCTCCCTTTTGTTCCGTTCTTCAGCATGAAACAAGAGCAGGAATCCGAAGAATATCAGGTAAAAGCGTCAAGATTTTGAGCTGGATAATAATAAACTCCAACAACTAGTGAAATTTGAAATGTAACTGGTCCAAGCAGCCAAGCCGAGCTATTTCTAAAAAAAAAATAGCCAAAAAAATCAATCAAAAAGTTAACCCTCGGATGGCAAAAGGTTCTTCCCCATATTACAAGACATAGTCGGATTATTATTTTTGTATTCTCCATCATTTTCAATTTTTTTGAAGGTCAGGAAAGCCCTTCCAGGTGGGCTGAGGCGAAGTCAGGATTAATCCCAGAAAATCCTGTTGCTTGACAGAGGATTTTTTTTACCTGCGAAATTTTTCTGCAGAGAAAAAAAAAGCATTCGGATTTTTCCCGAGTTTATTGCCCTCAAACCCCTGTTGTCACTTGTTTTTCTTCACCTCTCTGAGGCGCAACAAAAAATTCGCGAAAATATTCCGAATTCGCTGCTTGAGGGTTACAAATTCTAGTTTGTTTTCCCGTATTTGAATGCACTTTGGCATTATCACGGGGATTTGGGCTCTGGAATTTTTCTTCATTAATTTTGAGTAGGCTGATAATTTTTTCACATGAACGCCGATTTTTAATGTGAACACGTTTTCGCAGTTTATCACACAGCTTTATCAAAGGTCAAAAGGGAATTGCGACATTTGCCATCACAGAATAGCAAGTATCAAAAGGATGATGAGTTTCACGAGACGAGAAAATGCACGTAATTATTTGACTTTCTCCGTAAGTGTTGTACAGCATAAAAATTCGAAGATTAAAATTTTTGAATTTGTGACTAACGAATACTGTACTGTAATAATTATCAGCAGTTTCAATGACTGGGTAATTATTTAATATTGAATGCGAATTCAGGTGCAACTTTCAGCAATAAGTAAGACAAATCAATCTTCTCTAATAATCTAAGATAGTACGTGAGACTCGACTGGCGGTTTTTATGCTCATACTTTTATTTTTTTTTCATTGAAACTATGTGTTTTGATTAACGTCCCAAAATTTTGTAGATAAGAAATGCCTCAGGTGTGTTTTGAAAAAAAAAGGAAGACAGAAAAGTATGTGATGGCTTTCATTGCAGAAAAAAGCCGATCATATTTTTGGGAATATAAACATATTTTGGCACTCGGCATCACACTTCAGAGAAAAATTAATAATTTTGCGTTTAATTCTTCGTTTCCACTTCACAACCTTTTTGAGAATGTTCAGAGTCAAACAAGCCGTTATACAGGAATAAAATCATTTTGATCTGCTGAAGTTATCAAGATTGATAAAAACAAAAAGGTTTAAAATATTATGCCTCGTACCTCGAAGAGCTCGGGAAAAACAAATTCGACGACTTTCCGATCATCCTCCATGACAGCTTCCGAGGATATTTTCTTGACAAAACTCGTTTGTGAAGTCAGCAAACGTTTTGAAGTCACGAGGTCGACGACAAACTGGAGCAGAGCAGAATCTGAACAGGAATCATTTTCAGAATCCCCGCTTTTTGACGTTGAACATCCAGTTTTCATCCCGTTTTTGTCGCTGATTGAATCATCGATTCGACGAGACTCGCAACTCGTTTCCGGGGTTATTTCGTCGGAAATCGAATTCATGTTTCCGCAGATTTTCGCCAGCTCTCAACAGTGGGAAATGAAGACTCAAACCTCAAGAGATGGTATCCTCGCGAAATGTCTCAAGATTTTGTGTCCGGTGACAGCTGGGATATTATGAAGAAACTTTTTTTTTTTGTTGGGCTCACAGGTACTTTGGAAGAATAAAGCATTAGAAGATCATATGTTTTGGGTACACGCGTTTCTTGGCACAGACTCACAAAAATATAGCTTTGAATTCACTACTGAAGTTTTCTTTTCGAGGAAGAAAAACTCCGAGAAACACTTTTTTCCAGTTTTCGGAAAAAAAGAAACAGCCTGAAAAAGTACAAGCCCGCAATCATACAAACGCCGAAAGGAGGACCGTAAGTTGATTTTTCTAATGAATGCCTAAGAACTTGTGTAATCATCCAATTACTTCGCTGGACATTTCTTACTTCGACGACGGATTATGTTCATTAAAACTTTTCAGAATTTCCAATGCGAAATTTTATTACGACGTCTTACATTTTTTGATCATCGTAAACTGGGGGCTGCAAGTCTGCCTATAAATATACTGTGTACACTTGATACAGTACTTTCATTCAATTTTCCATGAAAAATAAATACAAAAAGCCACGAAATTCTCCGAATAAAAAATAAATAGCATCTGTAAGGGTCGAAAAAGTATTTTAAAGAAATGATTTATCACGAATTTTTCAATATTAATTGAAAACTATACATGCAAGTAATCTTTTTTCCTGTTGGGTCCTACATCCAGAGCTTAATTCTGATTTAGAACTTTTCCAAGGCGTAACAGCGAATAAACTTTTACCACAATCTGTGATATGAATATGAATAATCTATTGAGAATGTCTTTAAAAACGAATTGAAGCACCCAATTCAAAATTATTAGAATAGAAAAATGAGCGCACGTGCTCTGAAAACAAATCGAATGACTTATCATGTTATTGTTTCTGTTTACAAACGGTAAAAAAATGGGGCTACTAGAAATCAGTTGAATCAACAGAAAATGCAATATTCACTGCTTCTCCGACTCTTTTTTCCCCCAACAACTTCCACAACACTTCAAAATAAAAACCTTTACAACTGCAGCAAGAAAATTGAAATTCACTTCGCGTTGGCGTGTTCGTCGGCGGTAGTCGTGGAACGAATAGACTCAGGCTTGAATGTACAGGTTCCTTATTCTTTTCTCCGCGTTTTGTATGCATTCGATAGCAGCAGCAGCAACGGATGGCCATGCATTCAATAGGGACATGGGGTGGGGAAGAGAGCATGAAAAACAATGCAGAAAGAGCAGAAAGGATCGCAGGGAATTGGCCCGGAATACGCGAATGATCGCACAGCGTGACAGAAAACCTTGACCGACGACTGGGCTGCAATATGCAAGGGAAGGGACATTTCGCGGAATGGAGCATGGCAACAGGATTGCATTCTTGTATGTTGTCAGCGACACCTAGTTGACAAATCTTTAAACCTAAAGAAAGAGTTTGATGAGCTCCCGCACCACGCGACGCTGCTTGGAAACGAATTCACTGAACAACGCAGGGCCCGTTCGCTGATCGTTCAGTGTGTGATCTCTGCGGATGATTTGAAATGCGAATTGTAAGTTTTTCTCTCCGAAAAAACTTCGAGAAAACTATATGAATACAATTTTATACCTCAAGTTCTTGTTGGAGATTCAAGATTTCCTGCCGCAGCTCCCGCTCTCTGTCCTAAAAAAAAAAGTTTTGCAGCACGGTAATAATGCATTTAATTATAATGGTTCGCTGCATGATGCTCAGCTGAACTTCGCTCTCACAGTATTATGTTCTGCTTTTTCTTGCAGCAAGGCCTTGTTCGCAAGTGCAATTTTCTTGTGAATGTCTCCGGGTGCAGAAAATCGTCTTCTGTGTTGTGGACTCGGGGCATCCGTCAGCATTTGAGGATCCCATGGTTTGGGTTCCGGGTTCTTCAGCGACATCTGTTTTTCCACTGGAAACTTTGGCATGCCCACGTCGGGGGCTGAAATTTAAATAAATAAATTGCTAAAAAAAAAATTGTAAGTTCTCCAATAATGCTTCTAAGTACATTTGCGCGGAACGACTAGTTTTCAAAAGATTCGAAAATAAATCCTTTCCTTGAACGCTTACAAAAGAAAAATAATGTTCTCTAATTTACTGTATTGCTGATGATGAATTTAACGTGTCAGATTTTTATTTACTTTCACTTTTATTGTTGAATGACGCATAGAAGGCCTAGAAAAACAAGCGAGCCAATTTTTAATGCATTCCCCTGGCAAGCAAAAATTCCACAATTTCTTGCAGAAATATTGTACCTTCAAACAACGGAAAAGAGCTAATTTAGACTTTTCTCACAGGAAATTATTCTAAAATACCGATGCAACTACAATCTTCGCATATTGCACTGCATTAAATTGAGTTTCAAAGTAACCTTTCTCGATCTGACAAAATTATTTACATTATTGTAATACACTAGCTTGAACCTTCCAGGATTATCAGGAGCTATGTCCGCTATTTTTCTGAGATTTTTTCTCATAGTTCTTAGTTTATTATAATTTAAATTCCAAACAACCGTGACAGAAATAAACTAACATGGTGATCCAGGCAGGTGCTCTGAATAATATTTTCCGAGATCGTCAGCTGAAGCCACTTTGTTCATGGGTTGAGATTTTGGAATTTCAAGTCTTGGTTCTTTCAATTCTTCTCTGAGCCACTCAGGCATCTAAAATATAAAAAAAAAATTGGAGTATTAAAATGATGCAGCTTATAGTATGATAAATATGTAAAATTCAAACCTAAGACTTTTAATTTGATGAAGCACATAATCATAATAATATAAGCACAGTATAGTTAATCTGTCAAAATACCTTTGTGGTAAACCTTTACTGAAAAAGTGGATTCAAAAATTTACAAAAATTAAATATTTCCAGCTCGATACTTACAGGACCGTATGAGTCATTCAAGAAATCATCCCTTGACTTTCCAGACTTTTGAGAAACTGAACTGTGTTTTCTGCTAGCTCTTGAACGTCTTCCTTCTTCCAGATCATCCAGATCATCTTCATCAGGCTCAGTAATGTCAGCTGGATGTGTCAGACCAGATTTTTCATCTGGTGCAAAAGTTCTTGAAACTTGACCTGCATTGGCAACTCCAGGGGGTGGTACCCTAGGTATTGGCACAGTTGTGTCAACCACCAAGAATATATTTTGGTTTTGACAATGAATCCCAGCTAAATTGACTGTTTCTCCCTTTTGAACCTGGGCTGGGGAAGCATATAGTCTGGAAAAAAACAAACACAAAATTAATCTGAGAATATTTCAGAGTTTTTCAGCAATCAATATTCATGTCTTACACTAAGACTTCTTGGGGCTCAAGGTTAGAGTCCTTTAGAAGCATATCATTTTGGTTGGGTGATAGAGTGTCTCTTGGGGTGCCTCCCATGTATGCTGCTTCTGGATACTGATGAATATACCATATTGATGAAAAATTGCCTTTCAAAAACAAAAACAAAAAATTGACTCACAGAACTTGACAAGGAATTCTCCAGCCTGGAATTGGCATTGCCACTGTTACCAGAGCCAATTAGGTTTTGCATTCTTGAAGGAACATTTGGTTGTGACCCTGATCCTCCATGGAGATTCTGCCTTACTTGAGCTGGATCTTCTTGTCCATCCTGATGAGGTTGCTTCTTGTTGTTGTTGGGCATTGCATCTGCTTGGTCCTGAGGAAATTGATAAAAGTGCCGCATGAGTGAGGTAATTATGATTCAAAAGTGCATTTAAAATTGCTGAAATTCATAATCTTGCCTTATTGTAGCTGTTTGGCCTGGAGCTGGGCATGATATAACGCGTGCCCCACATGTACAATGTGTTTTCCACAGTTCCAACAATTGTGAAAGAAGGTCCACTGCATATCATCTAAATTTTTCACATAGTTTTGAATTAGTGGTGGATTTCCTTGGTAGTCATTTTTTTTAAATAAACACGGAAGTGCCTTAATCCACAATTTTTTTTTCAAGTTTGTTCCAAATTCTGGCTCACAATCATATGTTCATTCAAAAAATTTTGAACATGCATATCCTTGTTTTTTAAAATCATTAGGAACCTTTAACCCTTGGACGGCAGAGGGTTCTTTCCCATAGCGGGACAAAATCAGATTATTTTTGTATCCTCCCACATTTTCAGTTTTTGGAAGGTCACCAAAACCCTTCCAGGTGGGCTGAGGCAAAGTTGGGATTAATCCAAAAAAAGCCGGTAGCCTAACTGAGAATTTTTTAATTTTGCTGGCAAAATTTCTCTGTGCTCAGAGAAAAAAGCATCGGGATTTTTCCCAACTTTGCCCTTGACCACCTGTCATCATTTTTTTCCAAACCTCTCTGAGGTGCCACAAGATTTTGCAAAAATAGTCCAACTTTGCCGCACAAGGGTTAAGAAAAGGAGATGTAGTCTTGAAAACTGTAATGCACACTTATTATTTACCTCTTGGCAATGCTAGCATAGTTTCCAGATCACATCTGAGTATCTGACACTAGAAAAAGTTTTGTTCCATTCTGATTTTATGCCCATACGCAAACATATGTTCTCAATGTTTGTTATCAATGAAATAGTTTTTTCATGCATGCCAATTTGTCATTTCTTTAAGTTTTAATAAGGATCAAACTCCATCGGGTCATAAAAAGCATTAACGTCTACGAATGACAACGGTGAAACCGGTGGTTTCCAAACTGTATTGGTCCCAAACCTGATACAGAACATACTGGAGATGGTAGTTGTCCATCTGAATTCCTTCCAAATGTGATCACTTTCCCTGTTTCAGTGAGAACTGCTGTATGTGTGAGACCAACACTGACATCAGCAACTTTGATGTTTCCCAATGCTGTCACCCTTGTTGGGACTAATGCTTTGTCAACCTGCAGGCCCTGTTTTGTTTGTATAGGAGAAAAAATATTGAAACAGATTTAGTCAGTGCAAAGACTATTTAAAAGGATATATATTTTTAGTTGTTATAAATTCGAATTCCCATACATTGGAGAACAATTTGAAGACAGGTGCAGAAGGATTGAGTCCAAGTTTATTCCTTGTATTGCCTCCACAGGCATACAAATTTCTGTCTTCTGTGATGAACATTGTTCCATCTCCTCCACATTTGACACTGATTACCCTTTCATCCCCTGGAAAAGGTACTTCTTGAGGTCCACAACTGCAAAAATTCAGTATATATCATCCCGAGTGGAGAGCTATTCTTTGTGTGACCCCACAACTGGTGCCCACTGGGGTCAAAACTGGTGTACATGGGCTATTCTAGGGTTACAAGCATGCACCTCTGTAGATGAAATTTTGCTACCATCCCAGGGCTAAATTTGGTGCACAAATGTGACATAACAGGAGTATCACACAAATGCCCCAACTGTAACCTTGGTGTAACTTATCTTTTGCAAATGTGACCCTGAGTAATCCTGGTGTGAACACACAATTGGTGCACATTTGGGATATGCATGTGCAGAAGAAGAACTTTGGTACACCTCAGGTGCAAAGCAGGGTCACTGTATGGAAATACTGTACATGCATATACCAAGTGTGCACCATTTTCCCCACTTGGGATGTTACTTTTATCAACAAACGGGTTTAGAATGGTACAGGTATCACCTCACCATTTGACCTTCTGCAATTTAATGGTCAAATTTGCTGGGAGTTTGACTTTCAATTTTACAGATTTGCCTCACACTTAAACCAGCTTCAGCAACAGTTGACCATGCACAATGGACTCAATTTTTGTAACTGACTATAGTCAGTTGTGCAAAAAGTCTGTTATGCAATTTCAATTATTTAAAAAATAACATTTTTACTTTTCACCATTAATTTTAAACCAACAGGATTCTGTCATATGGATTTAGTCAACTTGCATGTGAGAGAAAACTGCCTCCAGAGGCAGTCTGTTGTGCAAAAATATTTTGTGTGGGAGGTCTTTTGTGTGGGGGGTTGACTGTAGTTTCCTGGTGTTTTTATGCTACCCTCACTTGATTTTACACAGAGTCTTGCAATTTGACCATTTTGCAATGTTTCCCCAAGTTCAGCAGCAGATTAGGGTCAAATTTTCGGGTACCACTGGTATTAAAGGACATTTTCCTCACCAGTCGTCCTCATGACCCAACCCAAGTCGTCCGCCTAGTCCGACTCCCCACGCATAGAGGTCGCCCTGTTCACCAACAACCACAACATGGTTACTGCCACAAGCAATCCCGCAGACATTGACACTCAGCAGTTGCTCTGCGAATTTCCAACGTGGAACAGAGAGAAAAAGGAAAAGCTTATTGTTTTTTGCTTATTCGAGATTCCCAAATGCTTATCATTTTTTCCGTGATAGTTTTTCCTGAGCAAATATATGTATTCAACTAACGAATCAATTTGGGTTTTGCTGACGAATTCCAGTCGCCGTGGCCCAAACAGCCCTGATTTCCTTCTCCACAGGTCATGACGATTCCACTGTCACTAGCAAACGCACTGAATCCTTCTCCAGCACAAATTCTACGAAAAGAATATTCCACGTACCATTGCGCATTAATTTAAATATTCAAGTTTTCTTTACGTAAACCACTTTTACTGGAGCATTAACGGAAGAGAAAGTCGCTAAGCTGCGTGCAGCCAAAGCTGGAGGTCCAAAGCTATTGGGGCACAGGGTTAACAGGAAAGAAGGGAAGCGGGGTTCAGAATGTAACCAATTCTAAAATGAAACATTTAAATTGAGAAAGTCGCGAAAATCTTTGAAAATACCGAACAACAAATTTCGTGTCTCATATCTTCGAAAGGCACGCAAACCTGTGCAGTGCTTCGATTTCTGCTGAAATTCTCCCGGAGAATAAATGTAAAAAAACATTCCGGTTTAAAGAAAACATTTATTTAGAAATGTATCAATTATTGTGGCATTCATGAATCGAAATCTTTCAATGCCCACATAAATCGCAGCCGTACTCTTTAATTTTATGAATCATCCTCGACAAAATCTTTGAAAAGGAGCGCGCGGCATGCATCAACTACCGCTTCAATTTCTGCGAGAATTTTCCGACTTACGGAGGGCCATAAATTTTGTTTTGTTTTTGCAGCTGTGTAAACACAATTATTTTTTCAGAATGGCATGCATAATTAATAATTTATTTGTCAATTAACCTGTTGTCAGCACGATGACGTGAGTTCGGGACACTGCGACTTCCTTAGAAATGCATTTGATGAAAATGACCTCGTAATTGCCTTCTCTTTCAGCGATTCGACGCACGTCGGTTTCGACCTCCAGGTTTCGATAACCCCGTGTCCCAATTGTCCTTTCTTCCCTTCGCCCCAAGTAAATGTAACCAATTCTAAAACGAAACATTTAAATTGAGAAAGTCGCGAAAATCTTTGAAAATACCGAACAACAAATTTCGTGTCTCATATCTTCGAAAGGCACGCAAACCTGTGCAGCGCTTCGATTTCTGCTGAAATTCTCCCGGAGAATAAATGTTTAAAAAAAAATCAGGTTTAAAGAACACATTTCTTTAGAAATGTATCAATTATTGTGGCATTCATGAATCGAAATCTTTCAATGCCCACATAAATCGCAGCCGTACTCTTTAATTTTATGAATCATCCTCGACAAAATCTTTGAAAAGGAACGCGCGGCATGCATCAACTACCGCTTCAATTTCTGCGAGAATTTTCCGACTTACGCAGGGCCATAATTCAACAAAACAAAAACGTCGACACATTTGTGTTAATAAAAAAGTCTTACCGTACGTATTAATTATTAAATAAACAGTTAATTGGACAACAGTCGTGCTACTGCACTCAAGCCCTGTGACGCTGAAGGAAGACTCTGCATCGCGGTGGCAGAGGAACCGGGGTCAAGCTCAACGAATTTTCGTACGCCTTCATGTAATATTCGTGGCTGGAAGTACGGTTAGTCGTGTTTGCAATAGTGCTGTTAAAGTATATCTCATCTCATATTTCTTATTAGGAACTACTTTAAAGGGCTTAAATTTTTTTGCACTAGTTTCGCTGTTCGCTGGAATAATTCAAATTAATTGGTACTCACCTCGGTTGCTTCTGATTCCTGTGGCAACAATAAATAAGACAGGCCAGAAAAGAATTTACTTTTTGTTTTTCAACTTTATTTAATGCTTTCAAATGTTTTCAAAAGCAGGAAAATTTTCAGAATTCCTTGCATCGATTTTTTTTTAAATCTGTTCTTTTCTTGATGATTTTCAAATGATCACGGTTCAAAATAAATGATAATTATTAATTTTTAGAGTTAAAATATCTGTGGTGTAATTTTTTAAAAATGCACTGTACAGTAGAGCATCATTAATCACAAGATTTCTTTTCTTTTCCCGGCAGCATACTTTTCTGGTGCGTTCGTTTTGGACAGTATTCATTCTGACAAATGGCAACACTTTGCTGGGGTGAATCGAAGGTATGAAAGTCTCAGTAATAATGGACCGCAAAGCAACCCGCAAAAAATTACGGGCGACCTTGAGAAGTAGTCGTCTTATTTGCAGTTAGAAAAGACCAAGCTTAACCGACTTGTTTAGACCGTCTGCTGCTATGTCTATTTCAGTGGCCGAGGGTCGGAATTCCGGGTCTCTTTGCAACATATCCCGAACTAATTGCTTGAGCAATGGCGAGTAAGGTCCTTTGATCGGGGCAAAACTTCCCTAAAATATTCCGGGATTTTATTAATGCATCATTATTCGAGTAATATTAAATGTATGTATTTCTTTCCCGGTGTTTGGAATGTTTGAGAGCATATTTCATCACCTTCATGATTTTATTGACAAGTGCTGGGTCTAAGCTCGGGAGCTTTCAAAAAACGTCTGTGCGGTAGAGCATTTCCTACGTTGGGTTCCGGGTCTGCAGCCTAAAGAGCAACATAACGAAGGGAAGCGTGACAAAGTGTCTTTAATTTCGTTCCGAAAAAATAAGTCAGATTTATGCTTCTGAAAATGTTTACATTTGAATTTTTATTCATTTTTTTAAGGCCGTAGCATTGATATGACGCTTCATAAACAGAGGAGCCCTATATACTAATACTGTATATTAATAGAACCATTGTACAGTTGAACCCCTGTAAGTCAAACCTCCTTATGTGGAATACCTCCCTAACTCGAATTTTTTTAATAGTCCCTGTCTGAAATCCCTTAGAAACAATGCATTAAAAACCTCTGCAACTCTAAGTCTTTTTCTCCCACACACTTCTGTAAGTCAAATTTTCTGAGGCCTTTTGGTGACTATTTTCTTGAAACATGTAAGACACTGCAACCTTGAAACATGAAAGAGAAAATCAATGAAACAAATGATGCTCTGAAGTGATTAAATGTCTTTGAGTGGATTTGGGTTGGGCAGGAAGGGGTTTGGTTGTGGAAATCTTGATTGAACCTTGTGAACGCTGAGAAGCGGCAAATAGAGTGTTCTGTTCATTCATTCATTCAAATGATTTTATACATCTTGAAATGAAGTTAAAGACTAATTAAGTAAATTAACCCATGTATCCAAGCTCAGAAAACTGTAAACTTATTAAGAAGCAAGTTTAGACCCAGAATATCCTAATTTACAATTTCCTGCATTTTTTACTTATTCTTGCAGCAAAAATGATTGTTTCCATAACTCAAAATTTCCTAAAATCAAAATCTCTCTAAGTAGATTTTTTTTCCCTGGTCCCTAAAAATTTGACTTAGAGGAGAGGTTCAACTGTAGCAAAGAAATATTCTTCTTACGTGGACAATTCAAATAGTTTTTCCTCCATATCTGTTTGCAAAACCCCGAATCGATACCTTGATAAATGAATGAATTTCAAAAGCTTGAAAGAAATCCCGAAATAAGTGTCAGTCTTGAAAGCTGAGCAAAATTCGCCGAAAAAAACTTTGCATTTGAATAATTAACTTTGACTTTGAATATTAGAACTGATATTTTCACGTCGTGGTACAAAAATCATTTGTCGAATTTTATGATTCCTCTTTGGCAGCTGNACAAGTGCTGGCAGATTCGAGCCCTCGAAAGTTTTTTGCAGACACGCCATCTCGTAAAGGATGCAACCCAAGGCCCAGACGTCGGATTTCTCGTTGTATTGCTTCCCTTCGCACTGTTTCACAGAAATTAAAGCAAGGAAAAAAATAAGTCAGATTTATGCTTCTGAAAATGTTTACATTTGAATTTTTATTCATTTTTGAAAAGCCATTACATTGATATGACAGACGACGCTTCATACACAGAGGAGCCCTATACTATAATACTGTATAGTGTATACTAATAGAATCATTATGTACAGTTGAACCCCTGTAAATAAGGCAAACCTCCTTAAGTCAAATACCTCCCTAAGTCGAATTTTTTCAATAGTCCCTGTCTGAAATCCCTTAGAAACAATGAATTGAAAACCTCTGCAACTCAAAGTCTTTTTCTCCCACACACTTCTGTAAGTCAAATTTTCTGAGGCCTAAAACCACTGATAAAAGAACTTTGTACATTCTGTGACGTTGGAACTTTGTACTTTCTCTTTTAGTTACTTTGTTTACTACGAGACTTCACTAATTTACAGAAACTCACCTAAACCCAACCCGTCCTTGGGGTTTGGTTGTGGAAATCTTTATTGAACCTTGTGAACGCTGATAAGCGGCAAATAAAGTGTTCTGTTCATTCATTCATTCAAATGATTTTATACATCTTGAAATGAAGTTAAAGACTAATTAAGTAAATTAACCCATGTATCCAAGCTCAGAAAACTGTAAACTCATTAAGAAGCAAGTTTAGACCCAGAATATCCTAATTTACAATTTCCTGCATTTTTTACTTATTCTTGCAGCAAAAATGATTGTTTCCATAACTCAAAATTTCCTAAAATCAAAATCTCTCTAAGTAGATTTTTTTTCCCTGGTCCCTAAAAATTTGACTTAGAGGAGAGGTTCAACTGTAGCAAAGAAATATTCTTCTTACGTGGACAATTCAAATAGTTTTTCCTCCATATCTGTTTGCAAAACCCCGAATCGATACCTTGATAAATGAATGAATTTCAAAAGCTTGAAAGAAATCCCGAAATAAGTGTCAGTCTTGAAAGCTGAGCAAAATTCGCCGAAAAAAACTTTGCATTTGAATAATTAACTTTGACTTTGAATATTAGAACTGATATTTTCACGTCGTGGTACAAAAATAATTTGTCGAATTTTATGATTCCTCTTTGGCAGCTGCTGCTGGTTGCAAATTTTTGGAAGATTCCGAGTTTAGTCACGCTCAATGACGTACTTCATGTTTTTCGAACAGCGTGTCAAGTTTAAAATCACGAATTTATGCATCATGGTGGTGTAAATTTTTCCTAAATCATCACTTGATATTTTACAGTATTTATCATGTGAAGGAATTGAAAAGTTATTGGACTCAGATTCAGTTTTGAAATTATTCTTGCATCATAAAACCTGGAGCTGGGGAATCCAAAATAAAATAATTTACACAACTCGACGCTCCACAATAATTCGCAACCCTCGAATTTTTTGTTTTGTTTTTCACCTTTGAATCGATAAATCATACTTTTTTGCTTTAAAAAATCTGCATACATTTTTCAGCCGCACTCAAAAATTTTCTGCACCTGTCTTCAACAGATTTTACGGTTATTCTTTAACGCCATGGTAGTTTTTATATTTGTAAAACTAACAAATCCACGGCAAGAATAGTTTTAATCACGAATTCTAAGTTTTTATGGTAAAAATGAACAATTCGGGTTTCAGACGCATGAATTTGAGAAAATAGTCCGTCTATGCGTGAACATTTCTTCGAAACTTGACTATGAATATTCAGTTATGTCTTTCTTACTCATATAAATCATATTACAAATTTTTTCAAATTTGACAAATGCAATTTGTGCAATGAATGCCTCATACATTGTTTTCAAGTTTCAGCAGATGTCTTCAGTGTGTCAGGTTTGTATTCGTTTTGGGTTTAAAAAAAACACGAAATTCACAGACTTCACCGGCAGTTTTCCATTACACAGTATTTTAAAATACTCTAGTTAATTCGTCATGTTGGAATTGCTAAATCTGAAGAACGACGGTCAAAGAATTCATAAGAATTAATTTCAGACCTTTCGTTAATCTTTGATTTCGAACGGATGTTCATCCTACAAAACCAACAAAAAGCAAACAAATTCCGCTCCCCGTATAGCAGTGACACAACAAGAAACAAAGCCGGATATTACCTAGCTCGAAATAAAATCGTGACAAGCTTGTGAGTTCCGGTTTACTCGTATATCTATATATGTATGTATGCGGTATATATACGATTAGGAGTGGGACGAAAAAGCGGGATTAAACGTAGGAGGATTTCCGTAGGGTAATGAGACTCGACGATGAGATGAAATAAAATCGTGGGAAATGTATATACGCGAAAAGGCGCAACAGGAAATACACAAGTCGAATAAAAGTAATGTTGATGCACTAAAGTATTACACTGCATATAAATGTATATATATATTGTTTATTTTTCTTTCGAAAGAGTTTGAGTGGGAAAAAGACGTGCTCAGCAGAATAACGCACCATCTCTGGGCTGATGTAATACGGAGTCCCGAGCACAGTGTGGGCACCGCCCTGTTTGGTGGTCAGCATTTTGGAAATCCCGAAGTCACCAACCTTGATCACCCCGGACTTGGTGAGGAAAATGTTGGCAGTCTTCAAATCACTGAATAACATCAATGAGGAAAAAATTTCAGCCCAATTATCTTCAGTTAAAAGACTTGAAACTATAAAGGAAAGGTCCCCCAAAAATATGGATTTAAATTGCACTGGAGTAAAAATTAAATAACTACAGTGAGTCTTCGTACACCGAAAGACCCACACAAAGAAAGATCCGCAAAGCGTAAATTCTTGGATGAAAACTGTGACTCGCACGACAAAATTCATCAACTTTCTGACATTTTTTTGACTGAAGAATGCTCGAACTTCGGCAAGTTTTGGGCCAAATTATTTTCAATTAAAGCATTGGAAAAGTCGTTCAAAGATTATGGATTGATTGCACTTGAGTCAACAAACACGGCGAGACCTCATATAAGTTGGCCCGTATACAAAGAAATATCCGCAAAGCGAACATTCTTAGAGGAAAACTGTGACAAACACCAGTCACACGAAAACATCCATTCACTCAACTTTTTTTTCTTATTGAAAACCGCTCAAATTCTCAAAAGTTTTGTTCTTATGAAACTTTGAGGCTTTAAAAAAGCAAAAGAAAATTGGGAAAGTAGGGCGAACTATTGCCTCTTTTCGTCATATTTGTATATAGTTGAGAGCACAAACGTGTCAGGATAACTTAAATTTAAAGCTAATCGCCATGAATTAACGAATTACTGTTGAAAAATAGGAAAAATGAAGAGTTTCGAGGGTTACATCATTGTCTTTCGGTGAGTGCCTGGAACAAATTGATTATTTATAATATCACCTTGTTACGAATGGTATTTTTTATCATTCGAAGGTTTCACTTGTGTGAACCTGTTAAAATCCGATTGTGGTGACTTGTCACCAGCATCTTTTGTAGTGCACCTTTTCATTGATGCAGCTCATGCCCTTTTTGTTTACATTAACT